AATCTTCACTATAGCCTTATAGCGAAATTGAGGTCTAGGACATAGAGTTCGTTATAACAAGAGTTGACTGTATACAGATATGAACTCGAACTGAATATAAGAACTAGAAGTTACTGCAACAAATTCGACATGTATTGAATAAGGTCAATGTTGAATAGATTAAATCAACAACATATATAAGAATATAACTGAAGGATCTATAGTGAACAGGAATTTCAATGATAATTTTGGCATATTGAGTAGGCTTAAGATTATCTTAACTTTGTATAAATGATAGTTAAAGTTGTTCGTAACCTGACTTTCGAGTTGACGACATTGAATGTGAATGACTTGAAAAAGATAACATTTATACTTCAATTTCTAGACTTATTATGTCATTATGCATATTCTAGCGTAGCAATATATCTTAGTAGTCTACTTTGCTTAATATCATAGATAAATAGTAATTATGAATGTATGATAGATTATAAGAAATAACATGTGCGAAAAACTTTATTCTATACACATTACCATTTGATAGAGAGAAGAAGTATAATGATATCATATGACTAACGGAAAAGTGGAAATAATTATTTTTTGACCCTCATTTTATTCATAGTACTTTTAAAACTTTACACTTAATATCATATTTGATTATGAAGTTTGATTGATTTTCAATAAATGCTTATTTAAACTTATTATTTTTTCATTGACTAAAAAAAATAAATGATAAAATTATATTTATCTAATGAGATGCGCAAATCTGCAGTAAAAATTAACATAACGCAAAAATAATTCTTAAGTAGATTCTAATTTAGTAACAACTTCTCAGGTATCATTCATTATAAATCCATCTTTTTTACATTTTAGACAATGGGCTGAAACAAAAACATTCTTTTTATAGATAACAATGGCGACCTTAACTATTACCTTGATATTATTTGAAAGATTTACCTAGTATTTCTTTTTGACAATTTGATCTAGTCCTACATCAGCACATTTTTTCATTTCATTGTGATCATCAGATTTAGCAAACTTAAATTCAAATAATATGCAAATACTTTTATTTTGACTAATTGAAATAATACGAACATTTAGACAGCCTTTTCCAGTTTTACGATTAGATAACATCTGATATTCATTACTATGATACATAGCAAGTGTTCTGAGAATAAATAAATGGTATCAAGTTTCGTATAATTTACATCTTTTAGAATCAGCAATATCATAACAAGATACTAACTCCATATAAAGTAATAGAAATTGGTCGCAAAACATAATAATATTTTTTTTGAACAATGATTTATAAATTTCATTTGTCTTTACACATTTCATGCCAATTATTTCAAAATCCACAACTTCAATTGGTTTGCTACCTTTTCATTTGGGATAATTAGTTTAACTGTTGTAGTATTTATTGGTAGTAAAACTACAGTTAAGTAACCACTATAGTATAATAAAGTATATATTGCATTTATCTCTGGCTTCTTATCAAGGAGATCGTATCAGAGATTCAATTTCAGTTGCACGTCTTATAAAATATCAAATTGATTTTCACCAGACTCAACTTCTTGCGATTGATAGAAGTAATATAAATGATTATAGAATAGTTCTTTAATATCTGATCCACACATTTTTAGGTATTTTATAATTGTGATTGTCTGACTACTATTAATCTAATAATTATTAATAGTATCATTATATAGATAAGATATTACTGAATGTGGCATCAGGATGTTTGAAATAGGTGTTTAATGTGTCAATATACACATGGTGTTAATCAACGCCTAAAATTATTACGCAATGAACCCTTTGTCAATCAACGCTATTCAAAAACACGTAAAATAACATAATTTAAGCGTAGAACAATACATATAGTAAAATAATGCCATTTAAAAATGCGTATAATAATGCTAATTTTAGTTGAAAAATGCGATTATCAATATAAATTTATTAATAAAAATATGCTAAAATACGCTAAAATACGATTATAATACATTTCTACTCCTGATTGCAATAAACAAATGATCATAATTATTCATCTAAAAAAATGGATTTACATAAGAAAAAGAAAAAAAAGGAAAAAAAAAAGTACTACATAGCACCATGATGCATAATCTCAGTTATCACCACCGAAACTATCATTATCATCATAATGGTCATCGTTATCGTCATTATCATAATAATCGTTATCATGTGGATTACTATGTGTCAGTGCTTCACTATTAGGCGAATAATCATTATTTTCTAAGCCCTGAATAAATTATTTTAATATTAGTAAGTTAATTAGTTTCAAAAATACTAAACGCTTAAATATTTACCGCTTCTGCGTCTATTAAATTTTCAGTCCAGGATTCGATAATATCTGAATCGATTTTCGTCGAAAGGTAATTCTCGTCGAATATAACCTTCAATACTGATTGAGTCCAAATGGCATTTTTTTGTGTACGCTCTTTTTCGGATGTGAAAATAGATTTAATGATTAATGTGATATAAGTATTAGATGATAGATCATCTGGGTTGCTCGGCATGTACAAATTCTCGTGAACTTTTCTAATACTTTCACTCCCTTTCCATATTCTCATCTGCTCCTTGCTAAAACCATTTCCATAGGGCTTTATTCTGTTAATTCCGAAAGTGCTCTATAGACTCTCCTTTAATCTTCTTACATAATACCCTTTCTTTACACAATTTGCATTAAGAAGCTAGTATATTGAAAATGTTAAATAAATTAATATAAAGTTATTAACTGATAAGATTATATTGTATAAAATAAATACTACTTACACTTGAACATAATTTTTCATTTCATAATTGATCGAACGAAATATCTCTATAACGCAACATCTGAAGTTGTTCAGCAGAATCTTCGTTATTTTCTAACTTATCTTTGAGGTGCATTTTCATTTGTATGTCATTTACTTGTTGGTGCTCATGAAATAGTTCATGAGCAAGTTTTTTAATTACATCCTATAATACAAGTAATTATATAATACCAAAACAATATAAAGAAATGATATAAATTATATTTACTTGATAAAATTCTTCTGACTTTCTCCCTTTATTTTTTCCTTTACCTTTGCCATCTTTCACTTCAACTTCAGTCAGATATTTAGATTTTCCAATCTTGATATTATTTTCGCAATTTGATCCTTTTGTTCATTTATCATAGCTTTTAGTCTTTCTTGATGTTCCATTACTGAATTAAGTTTTGATGAGTTACTTTGACCAATTTTAATTAATTTAGTCAATTCACGTGAATCATTGGCTACTAGTAAATTATCATTGACGTTAAATCATTTATAAATAGCAATAAATACTAGTATAGATTTTGTATAATCTTGATCAACTATCGCTTTGGATACCGTCATCGCTTTGAATGCTGTTACCGTTGATGATGCTATCGCTTTGGATGTCGTTACCATTGATACTATCGCTTTGAATACCATTGCTTTGGGTGCTGTCACAGCTTTGGATGCCATTTTGTCAGATAACATGTCTTTACGTGTTGTCATTTTAATAACAGAAGAAGGAGAAGTTATCACCACCGAAGGAATGATAGGGAATGATAAAGGTATTGTTGGTGATTCGCTTGTTACCTGACATTAAAACATAAATATATTTAAATAAAGGAATAAAATAATAATAATAAATAATATAAAATGCA